ACCTGTACATAGAAAATACTGCAGGAAGCTGAAACTCCCATTAGGGCGGACAGCCAAGCCATTATCTTTCACAAATGACGACGGATCCAAACATGAACGGTGTCATGTCTAAATTAACTGCAATCTCATTCATGAGACTACAAAGTGGACGGATTAATCAGAGAAAGAGAAATAATTGACCCCACTTTGGAGGCTCTGCATACGATTTCATCTTTGAGTGGCATCGCAGACTATTAGCCAGAAGCCACGGGAGAGGAGATCCCATGGTGTGTGCAATCGAAATGCATAATCATTTCCTTCACTGGTCTTCTCTGATGGTTTGACATCATGCATATGGATGTCGTGTAGGCTTGAAATTACGGCAGTGGCCATGTTTACGTGTGGAATTATAGGAAGGACCTGAGGCAATGAATAACCCCCACCCTGTTCGCTCAAAAAAAAAGAAAAGAAAAAAAAAGCTACTACATGGGAGGAAAGGGGGGGCCTCAGTCTATTGGATCTCTGAGAGGAGAAATAGGCTTGTAGTGCCTCGGACAGCCAACGCGAGGCACAGGGAGGTGGTGGCAGAGGGAGGAAGGACTTGCTCATTCATCATTTTTGTCAGTCCTGGAAGAAAAGGGAGGTGGGGCACGGGGGCTTTCATATAAATTGAATGTAGGTGGAATCAATGTGGCGTTGTTGGTGAGAGGAGGGGGGGCGCGGGAGCCGGATCAATGCTGGTGGGAGTGACTGTTTGTTCACATTGTTTATCTACTGTCATCTCAGGACGCCGCTGAAGGACAAGGGAGCATGGCGGGCAGCACAATGTCTCCATTGGGACCCGGGATTCGTAATGGGTCTCTCCTTATACGGACAATGGACATCACTCAGAGGTGAAAGCCATAGTGCTTGTGGATAAGGCGCGTCTGTGTGCGAGTGGATGCGTGAGTTCGGGGGGCTCGGAGGGGAAGGGGCAAGTCGAGATAACAGTGCTCGTCAGTGTGGTTTCATACTGCAGGGTCTGCTGATCAAATCAACTGCCTATTCAGCTGAGAAGAAGCTATCCTGAGCTGCACCGGATCTCTGACTAAAGCACAACAGTTTTATTAAGACTCTTACACCTGCAGCGGAACAGCAATAACAAATTTGCTGACCTGTCTTGAACCAGAGATGCTATCAAAATAACAACAACAACAGCGCTTGTGACGACCGCAGATGAATAAGAGAAAACTATCAAACGAAACATAAAATCCCCGGGCATGCAGTAACACGGGCTGTGGCACACACACACACACATAAACAATATAACTGTCTAATCTGCCCAATCAATCTGAGGGGGAAACTGCCGAGCGGAGCATGTATCTGGGAGTGTAATAGGGATAAGTACAATACCTGCTCATGAAATGATGATGAGCTAGATTCAGAGGCCGCCCAGTAAATATCAGGTATTATCATACCCAAGGGAGCCCTGCCTCTCGCCTCCTCTTTCCCTTCCTCTCCCGCTTTTTATTTTATTTTATTATTATTTTTTTTTTTTACACCTCCCTCTTCCATCTTCCCTTCTTTCATGTCCAGATAAGAAGCAGCCCGCACTGATCCGACTGTAATTCGCGCAGCAGAAATGCGTTCCCATGGGAATACCACGGTGCGGAAAGAATAGCTGACACAAGAGATGAGATTGTGTTGCGCTGCCCATAGTTTTGCCTGCGAGATCAAAACAGATAAGATTGTTCCTCCTGCATGGAAACGTGCTCGTAATCAGCAGCTTGCTTTCAAAGACCAATCAAGAAACAACAGATAAATGGATTGCAGAAGAAGCTCGTCTAGAGGGCTGTACACTGTATGTTTTACATAAACAAACAGTGCACACTTGACACGTGGCCCCGCCGCGGTAATTGCAGGCAATAAATGTGTGAAATCTCCAACTGCAGAGAAATACCCAGCCTCGTGATTGTTATCGCAATAACAATAATTACACTCCCAATTGTAGCCCCGGTCATGAATTCTATTACAAACCGTGTGTGTTTTTTTGAAACTGAAGCTAAGCTCCGACTTTTCTCTTCGCTCTCTCACTCTTAGTTTCTGCTTCAGTCGGGGGTTTTTTTTTTTTTTTTTAAACAACCACAGTGAAGCTCTGCCACACTCCCCTGTAATCCAACGTGGCAGTATTCAACCCCTTAGACTGTCTTTGCTGTTTGTAGGCCACCAATTCAACAGAAAGAACTACAAATTGATCAACAAATATACAAGGGCTCACACTTAACAATGGGAAGGCATTTGTTATGTACAGTATTAGCTCTATATGTGGTGTGATGTTAATAACAGAAAATCCTAAAATAATAATAATAATAAGTGAAAATGTATCTGGATGATGTAACAGCTGACATCCTGTCAAAAACTACATTACGAGGTGAAAGGAATATTCTAAATAAATACAAGAAAACAGATGTTGAAATATCCCTTGTAGTACAGTAAGGTCAGTCATTAAAGAAGGACTGAATCCGTCACAGCTGTTCTTTTTGCCAAGAGAAAAAAAAAACAACTGAGCATCTCTCTGCATTAAAGGACACTGGTGTGAAGGCCACAGAGAGGCCGTTGTGCATTCAAAAACTGCTGCCTGGGGGATTCAGCGGCCACAGATTTATAGCACATTGGCAAAGAGAAAGCCACTGTTAAAAATAACTCACGTGACACCTCAGGTACTGTTTGCCAGAAGGCACGTGGGAGCATTTGAAACAAAAATGAAGTCGGTTGAATAGTGCGATGAGACAAAGATGAAAATGCGATGCGTGCGTTGGAGATGCTTCTTTGCAGCACGACCTGGAAGAGTTGAAGAGGGTCAAATAAAACACGGCACAAACCAATGGGATCAACTTGCTGAAGTTTGACGGAGGACTGACTCATGAGAAGATTTATGTTTTAGCAAGACGTCAATCCCAAACAACCGCCAAAAGCCACACAGGACTGGTTTAAACACAATGTTGATGTCCTGAAGTGACAGGGTCCACTCCAGACCTCCTATTAGCTGCAGGACTTTAAACTTTTAATATATGTGCTGATACAGATCTATCCCCGCAGCCATAAGCCTGTAATTACTGCCAGACTTTAACTACCAATTATTAACCTGAGATAAAAAATAAAAAAAACGTATGCAATCACTATCTTGTGTTTTAAATTTGTCTGTTTTTATCAGTTGATCAGTGTTCTAAGAGAAGCTTTTTCCAATATATTCATTATGAAAAGTCAAATGAGGGGGAATACTTCGGAATAATTAGGCATTGTACCTTCCAGGTCTCCTCTCCCCGTGTTCCCCGTGCTCCGCCGCGGCTCACCGTTATCCCTTTCCCTGCTCTAGTCCCAACTCTGGAGCTGGTCGAGACTCCGTGTCTATTTCAGCCCCTCGCTGAAGCGCTCTACCTGTCGCCATCCGGGCTGCTTTCCCTTCCTCTGTTCTCTTCCTGGACCAGAGGGTGAGGCATGTGTGGGTGTCACGGAGCTGACAGGTCTATCTGGGCTCTGTCTACTGTGCTGGCTCTTCCCATTTCCTCTCTTCGCTGCCGCCTCTACAGCTGCTGTGTATCCTACCGTGTCACTCACACACTCACACACACAGGGGATAGCCGTGGCCTGTGCACAGGGTCAAGCCTTGACAGTGCTGCATAAATAGTGTATTTCCATGGAACACAACACTTTGAGATGAAACCAATATTACATCATTTTTTTAGCTAGGGAAACAGGCCAGGGGAGAGCAGAGGGGAGAGAGAGAGAGAGAGAGAGAGAGAGAGAGAGAGAGAGAGAGAGAG